AGAGAGAGAGAGAGAGAGAGAGAGAGAGAGAGAGAGAGAGAGAGAGAGAGCGTTGCTGGATGTCTGAGCCGGTGATGTAGTTATCAGGAATAAACGGGAGTTGCGCTAGCGCGCAGCAGGCGGTCGACATTGCAAAACTTGCTGCGAGCACCTCTTCACGGTGAACTAACTGGAGGTGGAGGAGCCAGGCGAATGCGCTACGCGCCGGATGTTCGAAAAGTTTCGAGTATCTCTGCTCGCGTTGTTGTGCCAGTGCCCCAACAACTGACCCGACACAATTGTCACGATCGGCTTCCGGCTTCACAAACGGCGCGTCCGTCGACGAGACGACTGCGTAGCCGTAAAGGCGCGAATTGTGTCGAGAGTTCGCGCGAATTTACGCTCGATCTAAATTCGGTCAGATTTTGCCCGGACCGACTCGATGCGACTCGGCACGATAGAATTTCATTCTACTCGGGCACGCGAGCGAACGCCATCGGATCGATAGACATCGCACGTCGATCAAGCTTTCCGCTTGAAATTTTCCGCGGCGAGAGTGGAATGAATTTAATCCCACCTCCCCTCCCCTCCCCCCTTCCGCCGTTGCGAAACTTTCGCGGGGGAGTCGGGTTTTATGAGTTCTACGAAAGAAATTTAATCAGAGCTCTCGAGGCCCGTCGAAATTGACGATGCGCGAGGGCATTCCTGCAAGTGCAGAAGATGTAAATCGCGCGTTTTTGATGTTACGTTTCATCTCGCGAAAAAAGGTAGAGCGATCTAATGAGGAAGTCCGTTTTAGGGAGATGATCTTTATGAGAAGCTTTCTCGTACAATCGGATAAAAATTCATGGTAATTATACGGGTGGCAACTAATACGAGATTTATACGTACAATCAATGTATAAAAATGTTTAAAAAACAAGCTTGTAGTTATTACAATTAAAGCTGAACGATTAGAAGAAATATAAAGAATTAAAGAACACTATACATATAATTCTCGTAACTATTTAGCTTTAGTTGCAATAACTCGGAAATAGTTTGTTCAACTATATATTGATTTTACATATGAAATTCGTATAGTTACTTACATAGTTACGACGACCTTGTGTTTTATTCTGAGTGTTTAGAGAGAAATAAATGCCCAGAAAATAGGGACCTACACAATCGTTAAATCCTCCCTACTTCTTCGCTATTCTATTTCTCTTTTTAGTTTTTAAGAAGAAATAATCGTTGAATATACAAATCTCTTATTTATATTTATACAGAATATCTTAGAATTATAGATAAAGACTGTTAATAGAATTAAAGAAGGAAGAGAAAGAAAATCAACAGAAAGATCTGAATAAGTATAAATTCACAAACTAATCGTCTTTATTTTTGAAATTTTCAGTTCTTGTTCTTTATATAATCACATATATCGCGAAACGAATAATATTTCAGAGAGTACAAATATCGACAACTTCCAAATGTAATACCAAATGACCGTGATTTCATTGTTTCCTATTATTTTTCTTATATCTATTTAAAGTTATTTTCTCTCTGCTATTAATTCTGCTATCAACTGAAAATGCCTTCGTACTCGAGTGCAGAACGATTTATACATGCATTTCATATATAAATGCGTTAAGAATGGCTCTGTCTCGAATAAGAGAGAATGTGTCTCAATGTTAATTATTATTTTATGACATTTTGCCGCAACTGTCCCTCGAACCAACAATAGAGAGAAACACGCTGTTGCTGTCAAGAAGATTAGATTTTATTTCGTGTTTCTACGTTGATTCGCACGCGAGTTTTAGCCGTTTAAATTTCTCGTATACTCGACTCGGGGAGAACGCTACACACTGACGCAAGCGCGACACCACTACACGCCGGCGTGCGGTGAGCTAAGTGGGGTGAATGACTGCACTGCGAGGGTCAACATGATCCGCGCTGACCAATGCGGAGTGGGGGCGCTTAAAGCCCGTATCACACTAGCGATTGGCGATTGATGATTGACGATTGAAAATTGGAACTTGACCAATTGGAACAAAGCAAGCCAAGGTTGAAGCTCGTTGATTCGTTAAAATCTAATCTTCAATCGTCAATCGTCAATCGTCAATCGTCAATTGCTAATGTGATTTGGCTTTTAAGGCCAAATTACACTAACGATTGGCGATAGATGATTGACGATTGAAGAATTGGAACTTGACCAATTGGAACAAAGCAAGCCAAGGCTGAAGCTTGTTGATTCGTTAAAATCTAATCTTTAATTGTCAATCGTCAATCGCCAATCGCTAGTGTGATTTGGTCTTTAGGGCCTTTGCACGTAGAAAAATTTTAACCGTAAGGTCGTAAGAAAACTGACCAATCACAGTCGATTATTCCTTGGATGCAAGGAGAATAATCAACTCTGGTCAGTTTTCTTACGGCTTTACGGTTAAAATTTTTCCACGTGCAAAGGCCCTTACGGTACCGACCTACGCTCAGATTTTTCGCGGTACCGTTACTACGGCTGTGGAATGTGGCCACACGTGGGGTAGGTCAGTACTTGCTTCGAGCTTCGCGTAGACTGGTTGCGCCGAGCGGCCGACAGAGGGCGACTCGATACGCTCGGCGATAACTCCGCAAGTTTAAACGCATCGTCCACTTCAAATAAAGAGCGTTGGAAAGCTAAAAGCGCCGCGATAGACGTGCGGTTATTTTACCTCGAAATAAGGATCGATTATTAGACTTTGGAGAGTGAGATTAAATTATTGCGATGGAGAAATATTGATTACTTATAGATTTAAGGGAAAAGTAGCCCGCGATGAGAACTTGAAAAGTCTGGGCTCACAGTCTAATTGTAAAGTACTAATTTTCTGATCTTAGTGGATATAAAGAGCGATTAGACGAGAGAGAAAATAGTAAGAGTTGTTTTCTAACTTTATAATGTCTCTGAAAATTAATATATAATCTCTTCTGCGGAATTTTACGAAAACAAGATAATATTTCGAAATTGCAGACGTATAAATTGTCACTCTGAACTCTCTGAGATATATCAGTTATTATGTATTCACAAAAAAAGAATAGAATGAAGAAGCAAATGAAAACAATTGGCTTATGTTTCTTATAATTTTGTTTTGTTTATATATGTAATATATATGTAATATATATTTATGAGTTTTATCAATTAGCCTTTATCTATAATTCTCAAACATCTTGTACATTAAAATAAAATCTCTCTATTCAAAGATAGACATTTGCTAAATCAGTATAGATATCAGTATAATACGTTTAGCATAAAAAAATCACAGGAAAAGGAAACTCTTAAAATCTTTTTAATCGATCATTTGAGTTCTTTGAGATTTATCTTATTTCGTCTATCTCTTATACTGTGTGGCGAGCAAGTCCAAGCGTGTTTCTCATAATGCACGATTGTACACAATGCATACAGCATTATTATAAAACACGATGTGTATGCATGTAATTTTATTTTTTACATTATTCAAATCTGATACTTTTCGTAAAAAGAAAAAGAAGAATTAAATAATTGACAAATGAATTGAATTAATAAAACTCTTGTGATACTTTCAAGACTTGTTGATTCATAAAAATGCGTTATTAAAAATTTCACTTTTCTGTTAAAAGCTTTTCTCTGTCGTAGTTAACTCACTTTATATAAAGACAATTAAACTCTCTAGTTTCTCAAACAAATCACGCGCAGATCGACGCGTTGCTGAAGAAAGTCTTCAGAGGCTCTGTTCGTGCCTCTTATTAAGCTCGTTTCCTGCCCGCGTCGCCTATTGTTTTCGAGTAATCGCGCGTGAATACGGCAATCGCGCTTAATAAGGAATACACCTGTACCTGTACACGCCGTAGTTAGAAGGTAAATGCACAAAGGCGAGTGGTGCGTCATTCGCTGAACTGGCGAGCGCATGCAATTGGTACGCGTCAAGTGCAGCTGTGTTCCACGAACGATCTGGACGCATGCAACGTGCGATAGTTTTTACTCACGAGAATTAGTGTCGTGTAGAGGAGAGACGTGCAGCAACGGGTGGAAAGTATATTACTGTTTTACTACTATTACTACTATTATTATTGCCACGAGGCAGTAGTGTGCGTTTTATCCGGCCATGACGTGCGAAAGAACTCGACGTTGACTCGCACACAATAAACGGCGCAACGAGAGAGAGAGAGAGAGAGAGAGAGAGAGAGAGAGAGAGAGAGA